GTCTGCAGGATGTGGCTCAGTGGCGGTGGTTTTGGTGTTACCGGCCCCTCTTTGGCTCTTCTCCTTGAATCGCGCCTTAGCCTCAAAGACTCCCGTTTCCCCCTGGAGACAGCACACCGCGCAAAGCTGGCAAACCTGAAAGGAATCTCTCCCAGCAGCTCCCTTCTAACAATTTGTCTGGAGACGTCTGCCAGCTGAGGGCTGGAGGTGCCTCTGGAGCCAGCTTTGTAGTTGAAGCAGGCTTCCTCCCAGCAAGGGTGGATGAAGGCGTTGGAAAGATAGTGTGGTGTGGTTTGCTTTTTTCTTTACTATCTGTGTGTCTTAATTCAGATGTTTTTCAGAGTGAGTGGCAAAGTTGGGAATGGAATTTGCAAGCCAAAAGCCTGTATTCAAGGAAAGAGAGTCGCTTACCGATTTTGATGTTAACCATAACTGTAAGGTAGCTTGCGGGAGGAGATAGTGCCTGTTCCGGAGTATTGCATCTGACAAATTTTAATATAAAATTAAGTTTGGAACAGGTTTATAAAATGTGTTACTATCTTTTTCACATTTTTTTCTAGGGTGTAACTTAAAGATTCGAAGGAGGTCTGATGACAACGAAAGCAAACTTTCCTGTGACAGCAGGATCTATAGTTGTCCCTTATGGGCATGTGATTGGAAATGAGAAGTGGAGAGGATCAGAAATAGCCCAAAGGCTACAAGGTAAGCGCAAACAAATTGAAAGAGGGAAAACTGTTCAGGCAAAGCATTTGCCTCTATTTCCCATTGTTGTTAAGATCGGCTGGAAAATGCTTTACTCTGTGCCTGACTGGTCCTCTCTCTGTGGTACAGCCTATGTTAGCAGGCTGAAAATTCCTATTTGTCTATCATGAATCTGCGTGATCAGTTCTGTCATATTTGCATCGTTGCTGAGCACTGTGGAGAAGAAGCAGAAGTGTCTGCTTCTTGGGAACCACAGCAGTGGGGCTGTTGTGAATATGGATCTCCGCTGAAGTCTGTTGAATTTACATGGACTCTGAGACACTGCTATCATCTGTTGGCACAGCAGGCTAAATTAAGATGATCCTTTCAAAATAGCATGTGATGTTTTTGTTCAAGTCCAGAGTTCAATGAGAAGCTATGGCACTTCCAAACCTAGTTTAGAAGTGCTATTAATTGGTATTACTAAAGGCATCACACAGTACTTCGGATTGCTTGTACCAGTTTTGCCTAAAGAGAAGAAAGGCTTTTAAAGAATATGAAGTTCATTGTCAGGTCACTGGCATTATTGACACGTTAGGAAGATTGTGCTGTGAAGTAATTATTAGTATATTTTTAACTACTGTGTGGTTTTTTTAACAATCTCACCTTAAGGGAAAATTAGACTCATCTTTGAAGATGGCTTGGGACTTGTGGATTTTCATCTTTCAAACAGAACTTGCATTTTATATATTTCTGAAGCAGATTTGGTTGCAGGGGATGAATTCAAACGAAGATTGGTTCGGTTTAGAAATGTAAGTACTACATAAAGAGAAAAGGAAGAGTTTTCAATGCTTCTGAAAAATTCTCTTGTGTTATTTTTCAGTTCTAGTGGAGCTAAACTTTTGTGATAATTTCCACCTGAAAACTGAAAAAATATCCAGCTGTGTAGTAATTAGTTTTTAGTAATTTTAATTAGTAATTAAACCTCAGTACTGTTGCTACAAGTTCTGTTTTTGCTCAGATTTGCTTTCAGGCAGCTCATACTTGACAAAAGTTTTCTCTCTATTGCATTGCTTCAGCTTATCATTAACAAGGTCTTTTCTTCTTCTTTCCTTTCAATACAGGCCAGCAGTCTTCGGGGAATTGTGATTGTAGAGAAAACCCGAATAAGTGATCAGTACTTCTTAGCAGTACAAAAGCTTGTTGTGCTAGAACTTGGAATGGTGTTGCTTCCTGTGGCAAATCAAGGAGAAGCTTCTCAACTTATTACTCAGCTGGTGAGTTTCTATGTTAGTGGACAAACATTTATTAAAATATGGGACGTGAAGAGAATTATGTGTTTTCCCACAATCATCACTCCTTTCAGAAATAATACCTGGGATCTTAAAAGAACGTGACATATTTTGTTGTTTGAATGTAAGGAATAAATATCCTGCAACAGTAATATGGTAGTGGAAAGAGGGCTTATTTGGGAACAAAGAAAAGAAGTTGAAGAATGTGATGCTGATTTTTTAAATGGGATCTTGCACTGAGATTCCACTGGACAGCATTGGGCAATCCTCGCTTAAGTTCTGTCAAAACTGCTTTGAGATTTTGCTTTGTCGCAGGCTGAGGTAACTGTGTTATGTTTTTTTCTCTTTTCCTTTATGCTTTCATTGCTCACATCAAAAATAACAAGATCATTGTTTTAATTCATGGTTGGTATTAAGAAACTGTTAGTTTGCTAGTGAGACTTTGTGGATCTGCATCAAAACCCTTAATAAGGGCACACACTTAAGGAGGGAGCTTGTTTTTAAAGCTTCCTAATGATTGCATTGAACTGAATTTTGGGACAAAAGAAACTGTTTTAAAAGCCAAGAGCAGAGCTCGAGGAAAGGGCGCTCAGAGTCACTTATATTTCGTTCTGCTCCAGGTCCGTGAACAAAGCAAAGATCACAACAGCAACCCCTTTCGTCGGAAACAGTGTTCGCAGCTGGCAGAGCCATCGGTGTTTCGGACAGTACAGCAAATTCCAGGAGTTGGGAAAACAAAAGCTCTGCTTTTACTGCAACACTTTGGAAGCATCCACCGGCTTTGTAATGCATCTGTCCAAGAGCTTGAGCTAGTCGTTGGACAAACGGTAGCACAACAAATCTACACTTTCTTATGTTCCTGACACACATGCCAAGTGCTGTTTTGGAAAACAAAGACTCTTTGTTTGTTTGTTTCTTATGAATGATGAAATTTTTGTTTTAGTAATCACCTAATATGGCATTTTCTATAATCCTGGTAATGGAGGGTGTTGACTAATTGTCTAGATATTAATCTGTTGTTGCTGCTTTACAGCTGTTCTGCTCATGTAGATGGAACTGTGAAAACTACTTTGAAGAAAGAGCTGTAAAGTCTTTTGCATCTATTTTGTACAAAAAACTGAGAGAAAGCTGTCTTTTTCAGCATCCACAGAAAAAAAAAATGGAAAAGCAATCTGCTTGCTTACTTTTGTCTTCCAGAAATAAACATTTAATTATTAAGGGGGTGGTATCGTCTCATTAACTGGAAATGTGAGTTACAGTGCTTAAAAAAAGTTAGCATACATTGCTTTACAGTAATATCTTTGATTTATAACTTCTTGGAGTTCCTTTGGAAAGTCTTGCTGGAAAACATCTTTGACTAAACACTAACTTATTTCTCTAGTTTCTTTTTCAGTTCACAGAGTTTATCGAATTATTTCCCTGGTGTCTAATATTCAAAATCTTGGTCAATTCATCTGGCACTTTTAAATATAGGTTGGGATTATAATAATCAATTACAATATATTTTGATATTAATTAAGTAAATGTATTAATTATAATATCAATTATACTATAATATACACTACAAAGAAAATAATGAGAAGCTTTGATCAAAATTCTTAATTCGTCCTGTCCTTCCAGTATGAATCTTTTAAAAAGTTATTTATAGAGAAGATTGGTTTTCGTGACATCTTGCGTTTTATTAGAAATTATATTCTTAACCTATTTAGTGAGGGTAAAATTGCCTTTTGCCTTATGTACCCACTAAGGAGGTGTGTGAAAAGCTCTTCCGTACTACTTGGGTTTTGGATCACAGCAGGCAGGCAGCTGAGCAGGACTTTCAACTCCCTTTTGGGAACTAGAGAGAAGTGAATAATAGAACCTCAGCATCTCTGTAGCCAATCTCATCCATTGGCTAATGTAGACAGCAGACAATAGACCTATTATTTATATTGATTCCTTACTTAGAATGAAAATAATCATAATTTGGGCGTATTTAATTTACTGAATACTAAACATCGGAGTTTCCAGAGCTATAGAACAAGATACTACTTTCAAACAACTAGGGAACGCTTAAGCCTCTTTATGCATCTGTTTATTTAGATTTTATTCCCTCTCTGTGACTTTGCTATGGAGACTGGATTTCACATCTAAAGGTATGTGGCTACTGATGTTGCAAGGCAAACACTTTTTTACTACTTCAAATGTCCATCTTCTTAGTGCATTAAATAAAGTTCAACTAAAGTAGTAACAATTAGTACTAATGGAGTTACAGGCTGAACTACAAATCTATTGCAAACCTTTATTTTTCAGGCTTTATAATAGCCCTATACATCCTCGTGGATAGAAACTTGTTACAAATACTCCTGTGGCCTGAGCAAGAATGTAACTTGCTGTGAAATCAATATTTGCCTCAAGTTAGCTGTGGGCTACCTCTCAGTGTAGAATGAGTCTTTAGTTAGCCAACAGAAAATGGCATGTATTTGTATGGCATTTAAGAGGGCCAAATTTTGACTTTCATGGGGAGATAGGTGTAGTTAAATAAAAAGACCCCTACCCCAACCTTTCCTCAAGGACTA